CCACTTACTTTCGGCCTTGTGACAGTACATATAAAGTGCTAAATAAATAAAGTTTATTTATACGGGGCACACTCCTCCTGCACTGAGCGTTGACCTGAAATGTAAATTGTTGCTAATATATCTGTGGTCTTATCTCTGACTGACTTACCTTGTCGTCCTTGTTGTAAATTTAACATCTTGAGGAAGTGAAAATCTCAAGTAGGCACCAGGGCAGTCATCTTGCATAGGCCATAGGCTATTTAAAATTTTGCAATGACTAAATAAATAAAGACACTGACAGGAGGAGAAAACAGCATGTTAGAACATGTGGTCCTAATTCTCTGGATGCAGACTGAATTTCACTGGTTGATTTTACTCTCCACCGTGTTCAGTGGACTATCATTAGCTCAACACAACAACGTGACAAGATTGGAAAAAGGAGATAGTCCTATTCGTGAGGCGGAGGTGTGGGAAATTGTTTGCATCAGTTATTGCATCTAATTCCACCCGGTGCTACATATGGACACCTTGACACCAAGACCTTTATGAAAATTATGAGACAGAGAAGCAGGGAACTTCAGCTGACATCACTTCCCACTAATCCTTTAAGTCAGAGAAGAGACATTGTGAACAGCAGCAAGACGAGGCCCATAAATCAAGCAGGATGTCGGTACAACAGGATAACACAGCCCGACATAGTCACAAGTATGTTCCAGATTAACCTCTGCCGCCGCTTCAGTCAATACCTCTGCTGGCATGGAATCACTTGGAGCTGTCTGGCTTTGGAAGCTGGAAGTCATGCTTTGGCTGTAAACACAGACACTAGTCTCTAACAAGGAGCTGTAGAGCAGGAAGAAGCCCACAGAATCAAATACTCTTTGGTCTCTTGACTTATATTCCCGGCACAGGGTTGTGAAATTTTCACATGATGATTTTTAAACATATTATTACTGACCGACTGCTGCAACACAGGGGTAAAACCCATCTTTCATTGCATGTATTTATTGGACACATTGAAAGCAGCAGAAGAAGATTTATTTTTTCCAAATGAACACTCATCAAGCTTGAATTGTGCGGTTTGTCCAATACCATTTTATAAAAGGGTTGGACCACATATTGGGACAATACACGAATCACTTAGAAGAGCCACATCCTTATGTTCTGAGACTGCCATAAATGACAAACAAGAGACATTAAAATGATCCATGGAGAAGACGAAAAAACAACCTTCCTCTGCTGCTCCAGGAAACAAACTTTTATGGTGGTCCTTCACAACTGCCACTAACCCAAATGCTAACACACAGATACAAACAAGATTTGATTAGGATTGGCACAAGAGTGGATGCTTTCCGTATTTCTTTCTTCATGTGATCTTAGTTCGTTTATTTACACAGAGGAATATATTCTCACATTCTGATGTGTAGAGGGAAGCACTATAGGGTGATTAAGGGCTCCCTACGGAGTGAGACAGAGGAAACAGACAGAGTTTATCACGCTTGGGCAACAGTGTAGCTTAACTGAAATCAGATCCCTATGTGCTCAGGATGCACATATGCCATAGACACGCACACTTGAACGTATAAATGTGAACTGTTGAGACACAAAACTCTTTTCCTTTGGGATTCGACAAAAAAAGAAAAAAAAAACGTTATAACTTACTTGTAATTGATTTCTTTGGCCACTTGGGGGCAGCTGTAAAATTGACATATTTTACCTTGGTCTATTTTCACCATATAAAGTCATACGGTGAACTTTTCAGAAAACTGTTGCTTATTTAAACATAGCAGACATGGCGCAACAGTAGCATTATTGTGGAGTCATATTTCTGGCCACATGGTGAATATGAGTCCAACATTCACTTCCTTTTAGCTCATTTAGTTACTAAATGTGTTACTGAGTTCACTGTTGACTGAGTTCACTTAGCTGTTAAGCAAAGTGATCATTTTCTACCTGTGAAGATTTTGTAATTCTGCAGCAGTAAACCAGTGGGCGAATCAGTCCCTTTAGTAAACCCTTCAGCATTGTGGGGAAGCCTGCACCATTTGTGTGAAGCAAATACCACAACCTCACCAAGTGTGAATTTTAAAGGCCAAACGACAGCCAAGTCAATAGCAAGCAAACTAGGCACAGTATGAGTGAATCCAGACGGCTTTAGCTTTTTAACCATACGCTTTCATGTCTCTGAAGTGTGGGACCAAACTGGTAGTTATGAGGGCTGTTTAAATCCTGCTTGAATGAGAAAATACTTAAGAGTGAAACGCTGGCAGCAGTGTCTTCTAAGAACGAAGGATGATATAATTACATGTATACCGGAGTCTTATGTATAAATTACTGTGGACATTTTTAGAGATTATTTACATGTGCTATCAATATTAGATGTTGACAGCTGTTTTTATTCATTCAGCCTTCTCTTAAAGTTCTGCGGTGAAATACAACTTTTCTCGCTGCCTAGCAAAGCCACCGAAGGTTACTTTGCTAGTGCTTTTATTTAAACAGTGTATAGTAACAAACATAATAAATTCTCATCTTGTTTCTATTATTATTTGTCCTTTCTGATGGTTGAACAAAAATGCTTAGCGCCGTTGCATGCAAAATGTTCAGCCCCATACTTGTCAGCTACACGATAGCGCTACTGTGATAGACCTGGTGACATTTGACGAACAGATCTGAAAGTGTGAGAGGTCTTTAGGTTTCCAAATTTTTTATCAGGCCCTGTGCTTTGCTCAGCGGTGAGTGAGTGATGAGGAGCCGCTAAGGTTACAGGGTGGTGGGGGGGGGGAATGCAAAGAGAACCCCATTACGTGACATGAAGGGGAATGATCCTTCCTGCTGTTGCACATGACGTGAGAAGGGGAGACAGGCCACTGTAGGGAGGAGAGGCTTGAAATCCAGAGGTCAGGTTTTGAACAGGTCGCGCCCTCAGTCACCTCCCCCTCCCTTCCTCTTCTCCCCTTTCGTGACCCCTCCATTCTCACAGCATCGTCTCCATACCTGACGAAAGATGTTGATGAACAGCAAAGACGGAGCTAGAGCTGACTTCCAGGACTCAGGAAAGACAGTTCATCTCAGTCAGGTGCTGCGTATGCGTCTACAGCCATCTGGCCTCCCCTCCTGAATAACAAAGCGGTGTGTTGTTGAGAGTTTCCCATGTCAAGGCCAGTAACCTGAAAGCACCTTGGATTTTTTTTTTCCTCTTCTCTCCCTGTTTTCCTCTAGAAAGAGGCCTCATTTTGTGCTTCCTGCAAAAGTAACACAGTTTCTCTGACATGCTGAAACCGCCCATCATAAATCTACACACTTAACTATGGGCCCTCAAATCTATCAGCCTGCATGCTTAGAGTCTGGGGGCCACATTGTGACATTCAAGAAGGCGGGGGCTCTCAGTCACGCAAGCATTGCCCCGTGCCTGGACCTCAGCCTGATTTTACTGCAGCCAGCAGGGAAACCAGACGCTACAAAGGCCCCGGGTCCACATCAATTTCATGAGCAAAGTTAGGAGGAAATAAATCATTTTGGGGATTTATGAAAAAGGAGTAGGGAGATGGGGGGTGCTAGGAAGTTAACCAAAAGGAAACAGCAAAACAGGGGTGCATATAAAGTCCAGTTAGCATTTGCATACCTTGAAAATTCAAGAAGGGTCACATTTAATCTTCATGGTTACTCCAGGCCGATAAAAGGCAGTTCTATAGCTGTACATTAAGTTAAATAAAAGATACATCTAGGTGCAGGGGTAGCTATATTTGACTAATCATATTTCCCCCAGACACGCAAGGTTCCAGGAACAAGACTTCAGGCTTTATAGGTCATTTGAGATCGGCAATTTGGCTTTTACAGGGCAGGATTCAGTCCAGACTCCATTTAATAAAACACATGCAAAGCCGACGTCTCTTTTCCTGCACCTGAAATATGCCAATCATCAAACCAAAGCTATCCACACTTTGGCTGTGATTAGGAACAGTCTAATTTTTATTATTCCTGTTCTGCTAAAGACTAATGATCTCCCATCAAAATGAGACGAGGTTCATGTACTTTTCCAAGAATAATTCCCTTGCTTAGGCTGAAAATAACTTGTATCTGAGTATGCATCTTTCCAAGGAAATCTACCCATGATTTCCTTCACCTGCCCATGATTTCCTTCACCTTTATTTCAGAATTATATGGACATTTGGTGTTTTATATCATTTGTCCTTCAAAACCTGAAGATGCATGCCAATGTTTTCTCCAAGCCACTATGGTTTAAGACTGAAAGCAATTAAAACTGTTTTCTCAGTTTCCCTCCATTAAAATAAACACATCCAAAATAAAAGAAAAATTAAATTTTAAAAATTGTAAAATTGTACTCTGGTGGCCACATCTTCACTTTGTTAACAGAGAGTTTTATGGGATACCGTGAAAATGGAACATTCCTCCCCCTTCTCATTTCGAAATAATTTTGTGTGACACACTTATTAAAATGTTCCCAGGAGCCGGTATCACAAGGTCTAGATGCATCTCTTTTTTTTTTTCTTTTTTTTTTAAGAAAAGCAGTTAAACCCTACAGCACAAATCAAGATCTCTTTGTGGGAGCCGTTTACTAACTCTTGATTATGTAAATTAATTAATAAAAAGCAGGGTTGTTGATGTTGACATGATGGGCTGTGAAATCTCTAGTTAATGGAATTTACATATTTTTTATGCAATGTGTTTCATCATTAATTTCCACATGGCTGGGATTTGAAATCGCAGCAGTGTCAGTTTTTAGATGAGGGCTTAGATGCAGTTTACCTAGAGAGCTCTAACGATTGGACACACACAGGTACATCACAGAAGCCCGCTGTGCTCTGTATGAAAGGCCTATTTTTGGGGGGCTACACAAATCAGATGTGTATGGCAGTAATTACCCTAGGTTTTGGCTGGCACGCTGCGGTCATTTAAAAGATTAATCAGTCATAGATAAATAAACAGGCTGTCCTCTCTGAATGTCACTCCCCAACGCTACACGTCCAGAATGCTGCATAAGGAAAGACTACTCTGGTGTCCACTTAAGATACCATAAACTTTATTACACTTTATTACTGCAGTTTCATTCACAAAAGCAACTACACATGTATCTGAATGTCGTGTCTTGTCTTGAGATGCTGAATCAAGGAACATACCTTACCACATTTCATCAGAATCGATCTTAACAAGCCCCTGTGATCACAAATAAGTAAATAAAAGAGGAGACTGTCTTCCCTGTTAGGCTAGTAAAATAAAACAAAATGAAGAAAAAATTAAACTAGCAAAGAAGGCAGATATCTATAGATCCAAAGATTTTATAACATGGTTAATGCTTTAAGATTTAATCTGTTATCAACTCTAAATCTAAAAAGAATATTGAATACATTAGATCTTAATTGAATCAGGTATAGAGAAAAAATATACAAATTAATGGATAACAACACACAATACACAATTCCCAATGACTCCTTATCGATAACATAATGCTGCTTACCAAGATAGACTTAAAGACTTAGACTTATATTAAATGGTATAAATGCTTGTTAAATACAGTCATATTTAAGTATCATAATGGCATGCCCTCAGGCCGCTTATCACTAAAGGTAGCCATGAGCTCATTTCTTGTTTGCCAGTTAAGACTCCCCGCACAGTGGATACTGCTCTCTGTAGGCACAAAGTAATTATCTGCAGGCACGCAAAGAGCTAGCTGGCTAGCTCAGCCCCCAACACTGCAAAGTATGTGAGGAACAAGTCTTCCCTTCACCTTGTTTTTCCTGCACTTAACCATCTTCAGTCCATTTGACAACCACATCAGTCATAAAACGCTCATATTTTCCTTCATAAACATTTGCAGTCTGCATTCCAGTGTATGACTAAAGATTTGAATTATGAGCTCTATGATATATTCTGAATGAATCATAACCTTCTCTGCAAAGTTTCACAGTGACTCAGATGGGGCTTCTGTTGAAACACAGAGCCACTGACACAAATTACATCTGCCAGATTACTCCATCTCCCCTGCCAGTGCTCAACTCATTTGAGTAATATTCTCAATGAAGGTAATCCAGATTAGCCATTTCAGGTTAGGGTAGTCATTCAGTCAGGAACACAAGGCATTTCATAACGGGAGGGCTGGAGAGGCAGGGAAAATGAGAAATCTACTTAACTACTACTACTTGACATGAAATTAAATGCTGCCCTCTTGTGTCAAAAATAGATCACTTTCTGTCTCCATTTGAAAAGCAAGCACACTACAAACACTTCATGGATACGGAGATGTCACAGTTGTGTTTGTTTTAGGTGTGCTGCTACTGCTCACTGTTCTGTTCTCTCCAACAATCTTGCTTGAATTGTAGTAGTAGATGAACAGGAAGAAACCTGTAAGAACAGGGTAGTTTGGTTACAAAGATGGTATCATGCTTAGACTTTGGTGCTGGATGAAAAGTAAATTAGACTGTTTGAGTGTAGTTCAAATTGTGTCAGTTTGGAGTCTACCTTGAAAGGAGTTGAGGATGGTGAAGATGTAGTAGGAGGGTATGAGCAGAGGTCCATAGCTGAAGAAAGCAAAGGCCCAGGTGATGCCGAGCAGGAGCAACAGGCCTATGATGGAGAAAGAGTTCGTCTTGATGGAGCTGGTAATGTTGGCTTTCTCTGCTGTTTTCTTCAAGTTAACAATCTGCTGTACAGATACGATGAATACGATAAAGGTGAAGATGAACACTACAGCATAATAACCGACGTTAACCCCCCGGTGGACATCAGCATCAGAGATCCAGCACCTGAAAATCATGATTAAAATAACATGAATCTCTTCTTGTGAATAAGAAATGTTGTTATCAGACTTGCAGGTCAGTAGGAGTCACCTACATTTTTGCTGAATTCTCATCATCGGCATTAATGACAATGTAATCATATTTTCCCAAGGCAAGAAGGGCGATCACCACAATAGCCGGTGTGACTAAAGAGAAAGACAGTTGAGTATAGACATATTTGTTCTATCTGTAGTATGAATTTAAGCACATGTGATTGTTTTGATCAACTATATCAGGTTCAGTTCTCTTACCCCATCCTGAGATGCAAATCTTCATCATGTAATGTTTGATTTCAGAAGGGATCTTCCATAGATTAAAGTACAAGTGTAGAGCCTCCATGAAAAACCAGGTAAAAGTGGCCAACATAGCGTAGTGCATAACTGCCGCCATCACCACACATCCAGTAAAGTTCCCCAGTTTGGCAATGCTCTCATTTATCAGGAAGGACAAGTTCAGTGTGAACATGGCAACAAAGAGGTTCATCAGGATCTTAGTTGCTTGGCTTGCTTTCTGTTTTCTGTGGAGTGAGTTGGCTTAATGTCAGCAAAAAGCCTTTGATATAATGAGTTAGAATTAAAAACTGCCCAGCGATTTCCTTACCTGATAACACAATACATGAAGAGAGTTACTGCCAAGAAAAACATTGACAGGCCACAGCCGATTGATGTGATGTAGGTAAGAGCTGTAAAATCTGAAGAGCTTATGTTCTGAGGTGCAGGTGACTGGTGGAGAGAAAGACGTGTTAGGTTATGTGTGAAACAAAAAAACTCGAATTACTTGTAATGAAATCATCTTACCAGCAGTATTGCAAAAAATGTTAGATGAGAACAGTGGCATGTGATGCTGTCATCAGTCTCATTTGTTTCACAGCCATCTGTGAGCCAGGTCTGTTCATTTGCTGCAAAGACAGAAGACACTACTTTACTTAAAGAAAGTCTTTTTTTCATTAATGGCTAAGCAAGGTGTGAAAGAGTCTGCTGTCAGACAATGGATTTTAATTTGTCCAAGGCAGCTTTAAAGAATATTTTTTTACAGTACCGTTGCCATCCCATGACCTACATGACGCAATGTTCCCATTCTGTATTAGAATAAGAAAGAAAAATCAGTATCATCATTCTTTCCATAAGCAATTATTATTAACCTTCTAATATATCATTGACTGTCATCTCTTTTACCTTGTCCACATTTTTGTACTGAATGTTTATGGTCTGTGAGAGATTGGATATTTTTGTTCCCATTTCTATTGCCAGTACCTCATTGTTGAAAAAAGAGTAGTCGGAGTCATCCTGTTGAGAGTGGAGAGCTGTTAACAGTTGCACAGGATGTCATTATATTTATATTAAAGTTGTCAAAACAGCATGCTTCATTAGATCAACTTCACTTTTACCTGAGGCACTTTTGGAAAACGCATTACTCCAGCAAATGAACCATTTCTTTTTAGTGCCATTTCGCTGGCCTCTTTAGGGATTTGCACCAATCGAGAGAAGCTAGTCCCCCAATGAGACTTATTCGGAAGAATCTACAAAAAATAATAGACTTTTAGATTAATAAAGATTTTCAGAAAACTATTGGGTTATTTAACCTTACTTAATGTTGTGTTTTACTCTTGCATCATGGCAAACTGCATACATAGACTTCATCACTTGTAATGCCAACGTTGATGTTGGTTGGATCTTCGCGAGAAAGTTTAGAGATCACTCCCTTAATATCGCCCATTGTAATCTCTGCTGTAAGGGCATTTCCCATCAATTTCAGCAGGGAGGAGATATTTCCCATGATATATCTGTAATGGAAACACAAATACAGCAAACTACGGTCATCTTCACAACTCCTAACAATGCCATTCCAAAATGTTGCTCCAATATGCTGACTCCAATAGAGTGCATGGCACTGTTATGTTTATAGCTATCATTAGATATTTACGCTGCGTTTTCTAAGCTGTTGCTCTTTGGTGGGGGAAGAATGATGGAAATGTTTCTTGTGATATTTCTGTAATGGAAACACAAATACAGCAAACTACGGTCATCTTCACAACTCCTAACAATGCCATTCCAAAATGTTGCTCCAATATGCTGACTCCATTAGAGTGCATGGCACTGTTATGTTTATAGCTATAGATATATACTTACAATGGGTTTTCTGTGCTGTGGCTCTCTGGTGTGGGAATAGGCGTGGACATGTTTTGTGGTGGCTTACATGTTACACAATTTATATTTATATCCCCACTGAAAGTTAGAATGTACTGTGTTTCTGCTAAACCTGCATATCAAAACACACACAAACACACAAACATGTAATTTTCATCCCATACCATTTTGTATTTAGACAAAATTATTACTGAGATAAATTTTAAATGATCTAATGAAATTAATGATAATACCGTTGCAGGTGTTTTCATCATATTCTCCATCATAACTCCCACAAAAGCTGTTTTGGCTCAATCTAATATTCTTTTTACCTTTAACATATTAAAACATTACATTATTAGACATGCAAAGTGCTACCACTGCTGTTAAATGTGTGTGGATGTATAAAGTATTGTTGTATTGAGATGTTGTAGATTTTTACCCCTGTTAAAGCACTTGTGAATATTTAAAAGGAAACCTGCAACAGAATAGAAGATATACAAGATGACTGGTTAGTAGAAGAAATGTTCACTGTGTGTGGGACTTTTGGAGCATCATTGTTTTGTTGCAGTAAAAAACTTTTTGCCCAATAGGGGGCAATCTGTCTCTGCTCTTGTGTGCAAAAATGTAATCAAGCCACTGCATGTGTGTATAGCCATTTTAATTTGCATGAGTATATCTTGCTCGAATTAAAAGTTAAGTCGGTGTAAAAGTTAAGTAGAGACATTACTTATTTTGTAGTAGTTCACATTGCAAAGGGTCGGCCAATACCTGTTTTTTTGCTGTAGAACGCTGATGGCATACAGGTGAAGCTATCATCTGGTGTTTTTACCAGGACAATATCCTGCTTGGATAGAATCTCTTTATCCAAAATTAGGCTGCTGTAGTTTGATTGTTGACAACTTCTTTTTTCAAAGTTGCAGTCAAATTCATCTTTGTTACAACAGTCTAAAAATACAACCCACAATACACAAATGACCAAGAGAACAAATTCAATTGTATGGGCTCAAATCAGACTATTAATCAATTAATTTTACCTGTATTGTTTCCCGAGATATTGAAACAAAGTTTACTTCCACTGTCCTCGTGATAGACCACCTCTGAAATATGATGTGAAACCACTGTTTACTCTGAATTTTTTCTTTTCAGTTTTCAGCTGCATGCAATTATGCTTCTACAGTGTTCTCAAGCTTACTTGATGGGAATCGAAATGCAGTGTCTGGCTGTTTGTTACTGATAAACAGAAAGTTTTTTGGTTGGCAGATCTCATTTGTGCCTGTAAAAAAATATACAAAATGAGAAATATAATCTGAAAAAGAGATGCTGAATTGTGTTGAGAAATACTGTTTCAGATTAGTTTTTGTTAATTTACTAACCTGAGCTCTCACATATGCTGTTCGTGAGGAATATTCCACAAAACAGGATCACTATGTCCACTGCAAACACCCAGCGACTCTTTCCACCCAGTGGTAACATCATCCTTCAGAGTAAGAACAACATAGTAGATTATGGGATTAAGTTGTATGACCATAATCTAAAAATATATCTATTTTAAGTGCCTTCCATTACCTGAATGATGATACCTGCGTTGTCACTCTCCACAGTGACTTGCATTCACCTTACAGTCATTACATGTTACTGACATTCATTTTCCTGTCTGATTTACCTTGCAAATCTTACAGCACGTCATATGTGCTTTCACAGTAAACAGTTGGCAGGCTGCCATTTTGTTATGGACTGGAGTGTACTGGAACTGAATACAGATGTTGTTATTGTTATACCAAATTGCCTGGATATTTCTTAGAATGCACATTTGTTCTTAACACTGAGGATGAACAACACAGACAAAAATGTTAAGAACGGAGTTATTTGTAGTTCTTTTACTGTATTCAGGCTTTTTTTCCTCAAATGCATGTCTCTATTGACAGGAGGCAGTAAATACAGTATATGGTTTATTGTGAATTATTCCAACTCTACATTGCTTTAATGCTTTGGGTATGTGTGCTATGACTTTTCTCTCCAGTAGGCCCACTCTCGCCATCATGAGGTTCACATTTGTGGTTTTGAGTGAAATGTCTCGACAACTATTGAATGGATTGCCATAAAATTTGCTATACACATTTAAGTCCCGCTCAGGATATTCCCATCAGCATCAGCTGTCCTTGGAATGTCTGTGTTCATATCTTAGCATGCATGCTAAACTAAACCACCAGCATGTTAGTATTTTGTCATTGTGAGCATACCATTAGCAATAGCATTAAGCCCAAAGCACAGTCTCATCTGAGGCTGTGGTCTTCTTTGTATACATGTTTATTCCTTTTCAGGCTCACCGGAGGAGCTAAAACTAGACATAGTTTATGATAGAGTGGGGAAAAAGGTGTCTGTTTGAAATTATACTTTTCTGCTCAGAGTTAGATGAGAGGAACGATACAGCTCTCATATCTGTAAGATAAATACAGCTAGCAACTGGTTAACTGGTAAAATTTGCTTACCAGCATCCTTTAAAGCTCACTAATTAACACACTATATCTTGTAGAGCAGAGAAGCATTGGTCAAACCTACAAAACTTAATTTTAAAGTCTAATCAATGTCCTCGAATTTCCAAAGATGATGATCAAAGGGCCACAGTTTGGAATCGAATGCGGGCTACTGTGTTAAGGACTCAGCCTTAGTAGCTATAAGGGCTACCTGCTGATTTACATGTAAGTGTTTATAAAGACACCTAGAACTGCTCCGGTAATGCAACCAGTAATGTCATTTCTTCTTTTCTATTTCATAGGGTACATGTTGCTTACTGATCAGGAGTCACCTGACATGCAATGCAAATCCTCTCTTTCCTCATTTACAGTTAAAGGACATGTTCGTTCGTGTAAGGCTTGTGTGATTCAAATACATAAACAAATGCATGTCAGAGCCTGCCAAGAAACTGAATAGGACAGTATGGTGGTAACCAAAACGGTCTGCATTTATGTGTAAATATGATGAAACAGATGCCATAGATAACTGTGTACAGCAACAGTGGTTTGCCTGTGTTCCTAAATTAGTGGGTTATAATCTCAGAGAATTTGGGGTTGGGATGAATGAGGTGGACTGAATATGAATCTGTCTGAAAAATGTGTTGATGCTGCCCCCTGGTGAACATGAATGAATTTTAATACTCCCTGTATGTCTCTTGACATCATTTAACACAGCTTTACAATTTACAAGCCTTTTTTGTTTAAACAAATATTGGATATTGAACATCTCTGTCTGAAAACATCAGAGCCTCTGATTGATGAGTGATGATGACAAATGCAACCCTAAAATCATGAGAGACCTGAACAAATAGCACTGTAGATAAACAGCACTGCAACTGACTATAAACTGACGGATGACAGAGCCTTTAGAGGAACAACTCGAGCTTCTCCGTGGTTGTTAACAGGTTGATAATGTCATTACAGCCAGCCTGCTAGCCTGCTAAGGCAATTACTGCCCCACCAGCAGCACTAAACACATTTAAGACCTGATCGCAGTCTGGATAGGCCTGGTTGGATTCATTGATGGAGTTTTTATTGACAGTTTGGAGTTAACTCGACGTATTGAACCATGTGGTCAGTCTGGTGATGTCATTGTTATCCTCATTAATGACTATGGCCATTAGTCTGTTGTTAACGCCGCCTAATGTGGGCAGGTGAGAAAGCAAACTTCTCCCTCCATTAAACCGTCATTTGTTTAGTTTGTCACATGAAAGCATTGTGCAAACTGAACAGCCATTAAGTTAGTGATGCTTGTAATCGGTGTATTAAGTGATTTGTAAATTGCTCTTAGTTCTGCCGGTACTCATCAATAAATAAGTCAGTGTGTGAGGTCAAAGATAATTAAAGCAGTTTCTTAGCCCTGCGCTGCAGGGTCTTCACTGTGTTGTTGTTGTTGTTTTCAGGAGCAAATTTCTTGGTGGTTTGTTGCACGATGCTGTGGGGATAGAGCCCAGGGCTTGGTGCCGTATGGCAGATGAATATTTGATGGCCCTTAATGGACGCCTTCACCCTCATGCCGTAGCTCTGTTTTCCCACCACGCGCAAGCAGAGGACTGTGGTGGAGCTATGTGGTCGGCATCCATTTTGGCGCTTCCCTGGTGAATTTGGTTGCCTGTCTGGCTATACCACACAACAGCTGCCTGTGATTTCATCATGCTGGTTGGGGGGCTAGCTTACCAGGCAGACAGCTGGGGGTGATGCTGAAGCTCTGTGGTACAACACAGTGCACCAAATCCACACCCCTGTGCACCCAACCCTCACATGCAGCTGTATCCCTGCACCCTGCTCATGAACCCGTCAGAGCCAAGGTCAACAGATTACCTGCCATCTATGACCGAGAGACAGCCTCATGTTACACATCATCCCCTATACATCTGGATACGTGTGCCAATATTTATGTCCACTGGGTATGAAACATTGTCTGCATCAATCCTGTTGAGGAGATTAAGATCTTAACTTGGGAGCGAAATGACGCAGCCTGTCATTCCAATTAGAAAAGTGACAGTGAGGCAGTACAGCTATGCATTTGCTTGGTGACCTCATCCTCTATACAGCACAATCCATAACTATCTGACAGAGGGTTACCTCCCACTATTGGCCTGTTAGTGTAAACGGATCTTGCAATCAAAGTGTTTAGGAGTCTTATGAGTTTCAGAGGAAGAGTAGGAGTGGGCTCGGCCTTGTGTTGGAATGTGGCATATCAGAGGCTGTGTGTGTGTGTGTGTGTGTGTGTGTGTGTGTGTGTGTGTGTGTGTGTGTATTCAAGGCACCTGTTAATGCTGTCTTTGCATGTTTGAGCTTGCATATACACACACACACACACACACACACACACAATCACAGCTGCCCCTCACATTACACAGCTATTTCTGATCTGCTCAGTCAGCCGAAGGCATGAAGGGGACAGAGGGGTCAACAGTGCTCTTTCTCCTTTGGTAAGTAACACAAACACACGCTCACAGGCGTGTACAGCAACCATACATCAGAGATAATCCTTCTTGTGGTATCTTTAAATGTACACTACAGTGACTCTTTGTTCACCTCATAGACTGTGTCTGTCACCCTGCACAACCATGACTGATGTGGTGGAGGGTTGAGCTCACTGATTACTTTACAGCCTCAGTGTAAAACCCGATCGGCAGCTAAAATATTTCAGATATAAATCAGTTTAATGCAGCTTTTCTCACTCTTGGGTTACCTAACTATAACCACAGCACCCGCTGAGGGTCTCCATGCAGTTGTTTTCTTACAGAGTGAAGACAAAATATGGAGTAAACATAATTTATGAACTGTGGATATTCTGAAAAGCAAAAGAAAAAAAAACAAGCGGTCGAATTTCTCACATTAATTTTTCATCACTTCTCTTTTACAAGGTCACAGGTGGCACCTTATACCGGCCAGTGCTGTGCCTCCCCAGACCTCCACCACCCAACGTCACAAACAAACAAAAACAAGCACAGGCAAACACTGACAACCATCTCAACTGGAATGTCTTTGTGGTTGACAGAAATGGACCATCATAGAGTAACACTCAGAGTCACCTTGACCAGTGGATGGACTTTTATGATGTATCTTTACTGCTATTGGCTGCAGTGTCAGTTATGACAATACGAAAAGGCAGAAAAAAGATAAACACGATTTGCTGGTCAAAGGACAATGTTAATTGTCTGTGATTCCATTACTGCAAAGAAACACACAGTCTGGCTGGTGCTATTTATCCACACTGACCTTGCCATCATCTGCCTAATTTTTTCACATTCATGCCGCCATCTCTTTCATCAGCCACCCACCACATTTTGAAGCATGCAATGACATCACCAGTCAGCAGTTCATCCCTGAGGTATCTCGCCATGACATCAGCGTCTGCACCCAGGCGGGGGGTGCCTCTCTCCTTCCCATGACCCAACTCTTCTTGCCAGTCAGTGACCCCCAGTACAGTAATCTCATAATGGACCTCAGAGGGGGGTAAAGGCGGAGCAGAGGGGCGATGTGGTGACACTGGAGCAAGGTGAGGAGTGAGAAGAAGTAAGGACTAAAATGGAGGGAGGAGTGGAGGTGATGGTCAGCTAATCTCCTTTCAGGTGTGGGGTGTGGAGGCCACGCTGAGGTGTGAAGGGCCTGGGAGGGAGCCAGAAGGACCAAGATTACAAACCTTGGACCCATATCACAATAGAGGTGTGAACTAGGAGATGAGTCTCAGTGGAGTGTGAAAAAGTGGGGAATAAAAGGAAGGCGACATGGAAGGGTCACTGGGGAGGTCTGCTGAGAGGGAGGTGAGAAAGACAGCTTATTTAGATATTTGAAAGTTTTGTACCTTGTAAAAATGTCTACTTGTTTTGAGGTTTATGTGAGAGACATCAACAGAAAACACAAGGTGAACACTGTTCACACCTGTTCTATCGTCAAACATTTCACAGTAGTTATTAAGCTGTTCAAGCACCCTTGACTATATACCTTGAAACTATGAAATACGTCCTTAAGTCAGAGGCCAAATAAAGAAAGGGATGATCTCATTGTGGAAAATGCCTACACATCTACATTCAATTGATGATTTCAATACACATGGGTAGAGTTTCATATGCAGAAAGGATATTTCAAGCCAACTTTACTGAAATTATTTGTTGTGCAATGC